AATTGCTACTTGTGAATTGAGAACCGTTATCCGAGATGATTTTCTTTGGAATTCCGTATTGCACAAATACTTTTAAACGCAGAGTGTTGATGTTCCATTTTGTAGATCTTGGGAATGTCCCCATTAAATCGATTGAGTTAGTATGCCAAGGCTTTTCAACAATGGATGGCTGCATCTTTCCTGCTGGTTGTATCTGTAACGGTTTATACTAAAGGCACATCCTACAGGCTCTAACATAGTCTGCAATTTTGCGCCAGTAGTATTTTTGCGTCATTCAGCAAATTGTCTTCGCAATTCCTAAGTGACCTGCTGGAGTTGTGTCGTGATTCTCTTCTAAAAGTTCTTTCATTTTATACCCTGGTACGCATAATTTCCATGGATTGTTAAATTCTGGGTCTGCTAAATTTCGACTATCCCAAATATGTTGATACAGTCTGCCGTCTAATATTTGTAAATCTGAAAATCTGTCTGGGTTTTGGAGGACCTCTCTGTATAAATTATCGTACCATTTGCACGATTCTAGTGCTGATGCTAATAATTCTAGCTCTGGTTATTCGCTACGAGTTTCTTGTGGTTGCCGAAATAAAGCATCTGCTACCTTGTTGAGGAATTCTTTTTCTATATATTACCTCAAAGTCGTACTACACCTAGCTAATCGACCCAAATGAATTTTGAGGTTCTTTAGCCATTTCAAGGACTGATGGTCTAAGATAACCTTAAAATTGTATCCTTCTATGTATGGCCTCATTTGTTTTATTCTGTATACGATCGACAAGCATTATTTTTCGGTTGTGGAGTACTTTGTCTCGGCCGGTGTGAGAGTTCGACTGGCAATTGCGATTACTTTATCTTGTCCGTCATACTACAGCGTTAGTGCAACACCAAGTCCACATCTGTTTGCAGGTAAAATGTTTTTAAAAAATCGGGGCATACTAGCTAGTGGTCCTGCTATTGTCGAATAGTTTTCAATGAATCGGCAGTACCATGAAGTTATTTCTAGAAAACGGAGGAGTTGACGCATATTGTTCGGTGCTGTAAGTACGGTTATAGCGCTGGTTTTCTCCGGATCCGTTTTTATTTCTTCTATCCGTCACAAATTGGTTAGACGTCACCTTTGCTTAGTTTCTCTTTCATTTTAATAGACTTTTCTAATATTGTTATACAAAATAATCTATATTCTTCTTTTTCATATGAAGGAAAGTATTGGTATATATTGTCAATTACGACTTAATATAAATTCTTTATTTTTCAGTTAAAGCTAATTAAATAAAACCTTTAACCTTATAGTAACTCGAATACGAAATATACAATATACTATTCTTATCGCAATGACAACTAAAAATTTAGCAGACCATCCTGGAAAACATTCCTTCGTCTCTACCTATAAACAATTTAAATTCTGGATGCAGTCCGCACCAAAGACAGGATTAAAATTTAGAGTTGTATTGGCGACTTTCAGGAAAATTACTTCCAGAGACTGCTCGCTACACTTTCTATTTGTCAGAATTCTTTTCTCTTCCAGACTTTTATGAGGATATATAGGTATGAGAACTGTTTGTTTTGGATAGTTTTATCAATAATTTATTTTGCGGACAAAGATCTTATCTGTGGAAAGAGTTGGTACAGCGTTAAGATTATTGCGGTCAAGGGACGAAAGGCACTTTTGCCGTTATCGGATGTAAAACATAAATGATTCTAATCTTATTGTTTATTTGTGTAAAAGATACATTAATACATTTCTTGGTGAACGGATAAAACAAAGAAACAGTTTATTTTCTGTTTGTTATTGTTAAAATTTTAACTAAGATCCATGGTGCGACAAACACAGTTTTATATAACCCACCGAGACATACTATAAAAAGGCAATTATATACTGACTCTCTGCATAGCCAATAATACAGAACCATCATTGAATGATGTTAAAATTCGAAACACAACTATTGGGAATGTAGACTGACACAGCCTAAAAATAAGAAATAAAAATTGTATGAATTCAGATCACTACTACAATCTTCTTACACTACATTGCCACGTTACTACACGGCTAAGATATGTTGATAAATTCGTCATTTGGCATGCTTTGGTGTCTTTTCAAACTCATCTCAATGATATACATCCTCGTATCCCGTTCATAATGGAGGTGGAGTTGGAGTCCTATCGTTTTTCGACGTTTTTATAAAGGGAAACCAATCCCAAGGTTTTCATCACTTTGTTTATCGAAAACCCTCCAATACCAATCGTTACTTACAAATTAATGATATACTATAATAATTAATAACAAACCATTTAAAAAAAAACACAGAAGTTAAAACACTTCACACTTGTATTGTGGTATAAAAATACATAGTTAAAACTTTTTAAAAAAGTGTCGTCAAAATTTATGTACTAGCATAACTTGTTGATCTGAACAGATTATCCGCAGTGCCTTATGTAATTGAAGCTAACAATAAAGTTATCGCTGTGACCTCCATATATGGGTTTACATCATTTCAAATTTTAAATTTTAATTATGTTGTGACTCTAGGTCGATGATAATGGATAAAATTTTATTACTTTAGGGACTACATGTCTCCCTACTAGATTTTTAACACGTGGTACTTGTCAGTTAAAACGACACAGACCAACTGGCTGAGGTGACAGGAATATAATTTTAGAAGACAGCTAAACGTGACTATATATAGGTGTGTTCCGAGACTAAGTCTCTAGTCTCTAGACACTTTTTTAAAAAGTTTTAACTATGTGTTTTTATACCACAATACAAGTGTGAAATGTTTTAACTTCTGTGGTTTTTTAAACGATGGTATACAGCCAACTACTGGGATTTTCCCATTAATTTTTAAATTAAATAGAACGGAAATTAACCTATGTAAGTTTTTACTTGCATAGGTCAATTCATATGTAGTGAAAAATTAGTTCCGGGCAACTCGCCTCGTGGGTGATTCCCTGAGTATTTACACTGCCAACGCTAAATCTGCGTTGACGTTAATTCGAACTCGAATTCGAGTTAAACTGACATACAAGTTGGAACGAAGTTGAGGTGCTGGAATGCTAGTAAACGAATTCGTACACGCACGCCAGTAAGAAAAACCAATGTGTTGGCTAGTTGCTTGAATGCGAGAATAAGTTTTGTGAGTAGAACCAACATTTATAACCTAAAAATATTGTACAAACAGTATGCCGCGTTTTACGGAAGACGATAAAGTAAAATTTGTTGAATTATATAGCACTTATCCATGTTTGTGGAATATAACAATAAAATCATATAAAGATAGAGATGCTCGTGACGTCGCATTAAAACAAATAACTCAAAGAAATGGGAGACAAACTCACAACCACAAAAGATGTGACCAATAAAATAAAAAATCTTCATGCTACGTATTATCAAGAACTTAAAAAAATAGAATCATCTAAAAGATCTGGTATAGCAGGAGATAAAGTGTATAAACCGAAAACCGAAAGTGCCGTGGTTTATTATTTTACACAATTGTCTCCATGTTTTGTGCGGTCAAGACCAACAGAATCAAGCTTCTACTTGTATGGCTTCGTTTGAAGGACAGGCAGGACGTAAACTTGTTATGTCATGTAGACCTTGATTAACAGCATCTCGCCAGCTCCCTTGTGTTGTAGTAAAATTCTCCAGATTTTCTTGGTCAACCAATTCGGAAAGAGTATAGTTTTTCGACGTTTTACGGAGCCAGTTATGAAATATGCAAGTAGCTTTCACCAACTTAGTTGTTTTCTCTAAAGTCAAGTGAATAGGTTTCCTGTAAACCCTAAAAGTACTTGCTAATATGCCAAATGCATTTTTCACGATTCTTCTGGCGTGGCTTATTCTATAATTACATATTTTCTGTTCTAAAGACAAATTTATTCTGCTGTATGGTTTCACAATATATGAAGTAAGAGGGAAAGCTTCGTCCGTAACAAATACAGTACCTTCTGGAAGCGACAATAAAAAGTTTTCGATGCCATGCTTTAAGGAACTATTGCTAAATACGCTACCATCCGATGCTCTTCCTTTTGACCCAATATCAATATAATGGAAGCAATAATCCTGATCAACTGCAGCTAACAATATTATACTAAAGTGGTTTTTATAATTGAAATAATTGGATCCACTATTTATTGGAGCTTGCATATCTATATGTTTGTCGTCTATGCTACCTACACATCCTGGAAAATTTCATCTTGTATTAAAACCATGTTCTATAACTCGCCATTCTTCCTCAGTGTTTGGAATCCAAAAAAACTTAGAATTATCTTTCTTTGCAGAATAGTCCACGTCAAAATGAAGAGGAAGAATGTCAAATAGAGTCTCAAACTCAAAATGATTATACTTAAACATCTCAAGCCACTAAAAATTGTGATAAATTTAGCGAAGATACCCAACAAGAAGCGCCTGAAAAAACTCCACCATCTACTGCTATGGCAAAACCAACATTATCTGCCGCTATGCCAAAACAAACATCGGGATGCTATAAACGAAAAATGTCGGCAATCACTCAAGCATTGGATATACTCGGCGATATTTCGACCAGAACAAAAACGGTACCTACTAAGAATAGCTTTGATATTGGTGAATATGTGGCAACTACGCTTAAAAAATTATCACCTCCAATGGCAGCAGAAGCTGAAATGAATATTCATCACGTATTACATAAAATAAATGTACAACCACTTCATCCTCTACAAGTGATTCCAGCTTACATGGATTCCTATTATTTGACGAACAGCAGAATTAAATATTTGTTAACAATAAAATAGATGCGTTTTTATATGTACTCAGTGTAATTTACTTACTTTAATATACTCCTCTAACGAATTATAAATTGCTTCGCAAACTTGAGTAAAAAATTTACTCATAGAACTTTTGGGAACTCTAAACATATATTGTAAGCTTTCAAAGCCATCACCAGTTGCAATCGTAAATCTATTTTCAGTTATAACCTTGCTGAAATACTTATTTGGCGAAGGGAACTGTTTTCAATTGCAGGTGCTACTTTTTCTAGCAAATATTCGAACTGATTTCCATCCATTCTTAAAACATTTCTGTAACTTGTTGGATCTTCAGTTCTTAATTCACGACAGAATGTAGTAGATGCTCCAAATGTACCTGGTCTTTGGATAAAGTCACGTACCCACTCTTTACGATTTTTCTTTTTTATGAGTTTTCTAAGTTCTAGATCTATCATTTCACAAACCACTAAAGTTGCTTCCATTTCACTCATGGTGTTTATTAGCTTGAATTCGACACACTGTTATAATTCAAATAAAATGCCAACTGTTCTCGAATTTCCAAGAACTGTTCCAATACTCTGTAGCAATCGTATTCCAGCTAATCTAATACGAACTCGTTTAAATGTCAACGCAGCTTAACAGTAGTTGCAAGCACAATGAGTTTCAAACCACTGTTTTAAAACAGTTAGGTCGTGGGAGCTTGACCTAAAACTTACTTGTTCAATTTCGGAGCTGTCCGACGATATTTCTCCTTTACTGAAATCTAGATCCGAATCTGAACCTTGAAATGGTTACTCGAGTAAAGAAACATTAGAATACTGGCATTTTTAATAACTTAATCGGCACAAGATCTACAAATTGTTAAGCACACTTTAATCGGCACAAGATCTACAATGTGTTAAGTACACTGACTGCAGTTGACAAGATTTACATAAACTGAATAAAATTGATGTCACATAATAGCTTGTTGGCGCTTTCAGTCAGCGACTATGTGTTAAAGTGTGAATTAGAAGTATGCAATCTGTAATATCAGCACTTAACACGTTATTCATGCAGACATCTAAAAATTTTAGATTTTAGACATAACATGTCTAAAAGATTTGACCGCTTGTAGCGCCGCAGCCACTGTACACTTTTAGCGTTGAACTGCTCGAAAGTCATCATATTCAAAATAATTGGGTTGATATTTTCTGCAAGATAGAAACCATAATAAAATCGCCGGCTCACTTGAAAAAAATAAAAAAAAATACATTTGAATTCTGAAAAATATATCGAATCTAATAAAACAGGTTTGATGCATTATAAATCCAAAAAAATATTCGGTTTATGCTACACATATGGGTGTAAACAGCATATTGTAGCACTTGCATTTTTGTGTTCAGTTGTAAAAATCTAATTTATAAAGATAACCGAAGAACCAGAATACACAGGAGTAATGAATTATTGAAGCCATACAAGTGAAAAAATAGTAAAACAATTAAAAACTTAGAAAAAGTAACGTAAGTGAAGTTTGTTAAAAGTTTAACGGGTAAAGGTTAAACATCTCAAACGTTGAGCTGTGTGACGACCTTTGGCTTTACTGAAAAAAAAACAATGTAAACAGTAATAGACTGGCAATTGATACAAGGCTCACACTTAAAAGGACACGAGATAAAAGTATATTTTTATTAAAAAATATATTTAACAACGGGTGGGGACTTGGGTAGAAGGTTAACAAACAAAATACGTATTTAATTTATTCTAAAGCAAATTAAAAAAAAAACAAGTTTGACAATATTCTAGAATTGCTAGAAAATATAATATAAGTGAATTAAATAATGAGTGCTATGTAAAAGCAATATTATGTTTTTTATTTTAAATTTTTGTTCAACTCACACAGTACTTTGTGCGATGTACAGCTCCTGCCTCCATCCATGCCTCCAAGAGATGATAGCAAAGTGCATCATAAGATAACAATACCTTGCTTCTTAAATCTCTCATAACACAATACTTTGTGCTACGTAAATCCTCATCTTAAATTTAAATCATTGAACTTCACCTACTCCATCTTTTGTACTTAAGACTGTTTTTTCGTATGTGCTTAGTAAGTTTTGTGGCAAGAACTATCAACACAGAACTGTAAGTTTTTAAGTTTTAAGTTAGGTTTTATTATTTATTGTTTATTATTTGTCTACATGGACTTAACAAGATTTTTTCCTGTAAAGTAGGACTAATCACGTTATTTCCCTATAAAATCTTTGGCTGTATATTTTTTATAAAAGTATACACACGGAAATAGAGCAAACATTGTCATAAAAAACAATTTACAATATAATTTCCGTTTTTCAGTTAGTGATATTATTCTCTAGTCTTCGTGTAGACAATTTTTGACAATCATTTTGACTATGCTCTGTATATATGTTTCTACAGACTCATGCCTATCAGTGAACGTTACTCTTTATATATGTTTGTTACTCTTTGTATATGTACCTCATACCTTATAATCCGTTCAACCGTTTTCGAGCTGTACGACTTTGCGAACAAATTTGCTATTTTGGACCTTAGATTTTCTTATGGAGATTTAAAGAGAAAAATGATCCATTTGTGTTCGGAGTGAGGTTGTAACCTTATGTTCGATTGATTTTTTCAATTCATTTACAAGAATATCAACTTTACCTTGTGTTATACTCTTAAATGACACAAAAGCATTCTTGTACACCTGGACACCCTCTTTACTGGCTTCCCGTTTTATTTTCACATGATAACAGACTAAGCAATCTCGAAAATCACCCTCATTCTCGGGTTTTATAGGCCTTCTTCGTTGTACAGTAACCAAGGTAAACAAGCTCACTAAATATGAGTTTATTTTCTCATTATTTAAAAAAAAGTTCATATTTTTTATAATAGTTTATCGTGTATGTTTAGAGATTGCATCAAAACATTTCTAAGCACATTTAGAGGAAGAATATTAGTATCTAAAAGGAATGATACATAAGATTGCAGAGCAAGCACTAGGAACAAAAAAAGATTAGATTCTCCCTGACTATCTGACCGGATAAAGCGATTGATGAAGGAAAAAATTACTTTTGTAAGAGATGGCTAATGACTTACCTACCACAATATAAAAAAAATACAAAAACAAAATAGAGAACCACAGAGATCAATTAAAATAGAAAAAAAACAGGTTCTGGGATCAGTAATATGTGCATATTGAAAATTAGATAAGAAGATAAAGAACTAATTTGGTTTTTGACAAGGTAATATCAAAAGAAGCTATACAGCTATAGGTTTACATGGCTCAAATAGATCCTAACTAATAAATAAATGAAATGAAAAGTTAACAAGTGTATATATTATTCTACGTGTGCACCCCATGTAGTTGATAAAGTCTAAAATCTGCATCCATAAAGTATGAAGTTGTTCGCTTCATTCACATTGTTACAGTTCCAGCAGATTACTTAGACACAGAGTTCAAGCTTGGCGTTAATGCTTCCGCAAACAGCTGAACATATTTAATCAGTCGAGTATTCATCATCATCATCATCAGTGGTGCTACAGCTCTAGTTGAGCCTTGACCTTCCCCAGTCTATTTCGCCAGTCGTTTCTGTTCATCGCCAACCGTTGCCAATTTGCCGCGCCGATTTTCCTTGCGTCCTCGTCCACACCGTCGCTCCATCTCAGTCGTGGTCTGCCTCTACTCCTATTTCCCACTGGGACCGATAATAGAGTTCGTCTGGGTGGGTAATTTTCATTTGCTCTTGACACATGTCCAGCCCATCTAAGCCTACCTATTTTTATGAAGGATATTACATCTCTACCATTTACTATTTTTTTTATACTTCTCGTACAATTCGAAATTATATCGCCTTCTCCAAATACCATTCTCACAGAATGCGCCCATTATTCTTCTTAGTATCTTTCTTTCGAAGACGAGCAGAAGATTTGCGTCTGTTTTGGAGATGGTCCATGTTTCTGACCCATATGTCAGCACTGGTAGGATGAGTGTTCGATATATTATTAGTTTGGTTTTCTGGCTTAAGTTTCTGTTTTTTAGCTGCTTGCTTAGTCCAAAATAACATTTGTTTGCTAGCAGTACCCTCCGTTTAACTTCTTCAGATGTGTCATTATCGTTTGTTATGAGAGAACCCAAATATGTAAACTTATTTACTACCTCAAAATTATATTGGTCTATACTGAAGTTTTGTTCGGCGTTTCTAGCTCTATCTCTGTTGTTTGGAATAGATGCTAGCATTTTGGTTTTTTCCTCGTTTATTTTAAGGCCCATATTTTGTGCGGCTGTCAAGAAGGTGGAAGTCATCTCTTTAAGTCCTCGTGTAGTACGTGCAATCAAATCCAAATCGTCAGCGTACGCCATAGTATACGCCGAGTATTCATACATTATTAAAATAATTGCGATATTTACAAAGTTTCCATATTTTACATGTAACTGGGAAAGAGAAATGGGAGATCTGTAGGTTATACGAAAATCTGTTATCAGATTTATCTGCACCAACCGAAATTACATGAGATTTTAAATGCGTTTATAAAAAAAATTGTTTACAAATATTTTTTTCGATATCCTTAGAGCAATTGACGTGTTCAAACTAAACCACTGAGTTGTAAATTGTACGTGGCTTTGTGGACGTTCCGAATTTCTTTTACTAACTTTTTTGGTTAAGAAGATAATATAAAGAAAAATTCAAATTTTCTTTCATTTCGCCATAAGGTCCCGAATTCATTATCATTCACAACGTGTTCTCGTGGGTAAAAAGTCGTAGTGCAAGCCTAGCGATATTTTTTCTTGTCTCTGGCTTATTGACTGTTTCTATATTGGCATGTCAGCGGTTCAGTAGCATGTATAGTAATATTTTTTCTACTATTTTTAGTGTGACGTCTAATTGAATACAGTACATTAAAGTAAGCTATTGAATAGGGACAAAACAGCAATATTTTCAGGACAGTCAGAAAATCAATTAGTTTAACGATTTATGAACAAAAATCTTGGTAATCCTATAATTTATCTATTTGCAAATAGATACGAAATAGTATCAAAAAAAAATGGTGGCTTATTCCCATTAAAATAGTATCTAGCACATTTCTAGTTTTTGTCACGACCAAACCTGTAGTTTTAGATCTTCTGACTATATTTCTTACACTATAGCGTGACAATTGCAACATATTTACAATTTCCTAATTGGATTTTCCAGAATTAAAAAATCTAATAATGATTTAACAAATTTTCTCATCGATAACTTTACCTCGACCCATTACACAATCCACAAACGGTAAAAAGCTTTACAATACTACAAAATACATTTGACATTAACTGACAATATTATTGTTTTGATGTCATTTTTCCATAGCTACCTTTGAATTTAACGTAATTATGAAAAAATCAACGTATGTTTACATACGTTTACATAGCCAGGGTTTAGTAAAATTTTTGTTTATTTTTGGAAATAAATAAAAAACCATAAGAGTATTGTTGTTAATAAATATTAATAAAAATGCC